ATGATGTTTGTATAGAATCAATCTGCAAACCAGAAATAACTTAAAATTCAATGATCAGTTATTTAATGGTCAAATACAAATCTCAGGCAGCACAAAGCTGATTAGATAATTCCCCTTTAATTATGCCTGAATGCTACACTGTTTAAGGGACTTAGGGATGCAGTTTATGCACATGGATTGCATCTTTTTGCTACAGAAATAATAAATTTGTAATATATTAACTGTCCTCCACTCACTGCATTTTGCTGCAGAAACGATCTTGCTTTTATGAAAAGACTGTGGTAATCTTGATCATGGCTCTGTGTGTAGTTTGCAGAAGTTCTGTGTTTGCTTACTAAATAAATTTATGATGCAACCCTGCTCAGTATCCAACTGCTTGGCTTACAATGCATTTATTAGCAAAGAGAGGTGTCATTGTTCATTATTTTCCTTAAAAAAGATTAAATTGATATTTTCTAGTTCTAAAGACAAAATCAAGAATACTTTAACTGTTAGCTTCTGTTTTATGAAGTTTAGTGAAGTTTTTTGTGAAGGGTTCCTTCACATTAAGTTGTTGCTTTAAAATCCATCATGTGCTACGAAAGAAGAGGTACACCATAGGTTGGCAGCTCCTGGTGTAGCTGGCGAAACATCATAGCACATTTATTTCTTTCTTTCACCTTGCCAAGAGCGTTGAACAGCCTTGCTTGTAAATAAAGGACTTCTCGGATCCGCTCATTGCAATCTGCTTTTTCAAAATATATCTTTGCTTCATTCAGATTTTCGATTGCTGATTCGAAAGCTTAAAAAAAAAGTTAAATTTTGAAAATGTGTCAAATAACATCCCTGAAAAATCGTACAGCATTTATTTATATTTATTATATCACATTTTAGTTATCCAAACCTGTTTTCCAAAGTAGTAGAAATGGAAAAAAGTATTGGTTTTAACATTTTAATCAATGTCCTGCTAATACCTTTAAATATAAAAATATAAAGCCTTCAATTATTCCTTTAAGCAACAAAGATAATCGTGAAGTCATTTGATACTTTCCTTAATCTTACTAGATTCTTGAGCAGTAGAGAATTAGATTGATGCACCCCTGAGCTTTCACGAAGCAAGAGCAACAATGTAACGACACCTTTTACATCCACTCAGGAGGAAAAGTGGAGCTTCTGTTTAAAGTCCTATCTGAAATATAGCACCTCTTACAGCGCAACATTCCCTTAGTATTGAAATGAAGTGAAAGCCAAGATAATGTGCAATTTTTATGGAGTGGGGCTCAATTTTTGATACAAAGATAAGGATTCTAATGCTGAGGCAAATCTGAGAAACTAAATGTGTAAAGGGATTGAATCAGTTTCAGTTAGTTAGGAGTTAAATATTTTAAAAGAAATGGGAATCAGAGATGTATAAAGACAGGTGAAAACTATAGGAGCTGCACTATCAGTGGAGAGTGTCAGCCTTGGGAGAAGAACAGACAATGCCAGTGGGAAAACAATAAATAAATGTGAGACATTTATGTTGTATAAAGCTTGAAGATATTTAGTAACCTACCAGACTGAGCATTGCACTTCATGGTATTAAGGCTGACTCTCCACAAATACATACGAAATAAACGATCATAACCTGACTTCCTGAGTTTTCTTATCAATTTGTTGAGTTGTCTAATATCACATGTACCATAAAATTCCAATGTTTTATGATGGCTCAAAACTCCTTTGCTTTTGTACTCTTTGCTTCTATATATAAAACCAAATATATTGCATGCCTTTTTAATCACTTTCTCAACCAGGTCATTATCTTCAATGATTTATGAATACTTTCCCTTAGGTTTCTCTTTTCCTGCACTTCCTTTAGATTATGACTTTTGTTTTATCTCTCCTTATTCCTTATAAAAAACGCATTACTCAATCTTTTTCTGCAAGTCTATCTGCTATATGTATGCCCACTTCACCAGCGTGTCTGCTTGTTCTTCAGGTCTATCATTATGCACAAATTTCATGGGGTTCAAAGCAACGCAAAGTTCATAATATGATTGAATACAATGTTGACTAGAAATGCATTTGTTCCTTTCTAATTAGGATATATTAAAACAATCTAGTCATATTATAAGGTACTTCTGGTTTTAAAATGTCATTCCAACCAATTTTAAAATGGCTTATCTGAGAAACTTCTCATTTTGAAGTGACAGCCTGAGAATTGTCTTGAAATTTCTTTTGATTACAAATTTTAATGAGTATATTAAGTCAAACCTAATGGATTCTTTGCAAGATCTAAGGAAATTGACAGTTTATAAATATACTAAAATTGTTGCAAAGTATACAGGTCAGGTGAAAAGATTTCAAGTATTTACCCTCAGTTTTTTCCTGAGTAGAAGAAGAGGCTGCAGAAGCGACTTGACATTTTGCCAACAGCAACATAGCAAGCCCTCGGTTCAAGACTATTCCATTAGCCAGAATGGGTTCAATAGCCATATGCAGTATATTCAAAGCTTGTTCTGGAATTCCAAGCAGCAGCTGGTAAAATAAATATACGATTTGGGTTCTTTTAAGTAACAAAAAGACTTGAAATTGTTAAAGAATATCACATTCAGCATAAGTTTCCTGTTAGTTGCACTTCTTTCCTGTGACATCATATGGAGTTATCTTTCAATCTCCAAATGCTATGTGAAACTGCAGGTTAATTTTAACGTTGTCTTCTTCTACCTCCCTTTCTAAAAGTCAGATAAGTTTTATATATTTGCATTTGTTTTCTTTTATTTTACACGTATTTTTCTTCAAGGGTCTCTTTTCACCAAACCATCTTTTAAAAAAAACCTTAATCCTAAACTAGCTTTTCTGTTAGCTATCAAAAACAAGTATCAGATTTGCAGTCTTCAAAAAGCTATACAAATTGACTTTGCATGCCTGCTGCTTCCTATTTATCATCCTAGCCTGAACACATGAGAGGAGGACCAGGATAGAAAGTGTCTTCACTAAGACATCTATTTACTGGCTACAACCCACCCAATTCTTATCCCAATTGTCACATATTGCCACCACAAGACAGTGCTGTTTCTTTGTTTCAGTTTTGTTTTCATGTGAGGGGAGTATAAACATGATTCCTCATACTTCTTCCCTTTTGAACTGCTCACTCAACTTCTCTATACACTTGATCCTGATTTCCTGCGTATAGCACAGTGGGAACAGAAACTAAACTATTTTTTCTAGTTCACAAACACAGGAATTTGATCATAAATTGTTGCTGAGTCATGTTTTAGTTTTAGTTTTACTTTAACTCTGTTTAGGAAGATGCAAATCAGTGACATGCTATTTTGAGGTCCTCCAATTTTGGAATATACTATCTTTGAGAAATCATGGAAACTCCCCTCAAAATAAAAAAGTAGAAAACATGACGTTAGGGGAAACAGTGACATACTACTGTATCACAGAATCATACAGGACAAAAGAGGTCCTTCAGCCCACGAAGTCCATACTGCGAAAAATATACCACTACCTACACTAGACTCACTTTTCCACACTAGGGCCATAGTCTTGAATGTTATGACAGTTCAAGTGCTCATCCATGTACTTCTTAAAAAGTTTGTGGAGTTTCCTGTCTCAACTACCCTCTCAAGCAGACCTTTAGCACCCTCTGGATGAAAAAGCTTTTCCTCAAATCTCTGCTCAACCTCTTGCCTTTCACCTTAAAATTATGCCCCCTTATTACTGATCCTTCAATAAGAGGAACACATGCTTACTATTCACCCTGTCCATGCTCCTCAATCTTATATACATGAGAGAATAGTCATTTACAAGCACAGTATGCATCAAACATAGAAATTTCTAAGCTGTTTGAAATAGAAAATTTACATTTCTATTTTACAATTAGAATTGAAAAATAAAATATTAAATTTAAAACTAATAAATGGTCTTAAAAACTGTGATCATGAACATATCTGCTGAAACAGGAGAATAGTGCTATACTCTATGAAATCCTCCTTAATAAAATCACGTTTCTTGTGTGAAACGGGACCTATGTTACACAAACAGATACATTACTGATATCCAAGAAAATAACTTTCTCTGTACATTTCCTTTTGAATAGGCATTAACACACGAGTGATGGTACTTTTTGGTTGTCATAAACAGCATCTCAGGTCATAAATAATTTTTATGTAAATAAGGTACAGGTGATAAATGTCAAGATATAAAAAGTGAATCTATTGAAGACACTATTATTCAGTATGCCGTTTGGGCTCCACATTGCAAGAGGGATGGTGAGGTAACAGAAAATTTACAATATGTATTCACTAGGATCCTGTCTGGTAGAAGCAAATAGAAACAAAGAATTGGGGAAGAAAAGGAACCAGTTTTGTTAGAACAGAGGAGAGCATGGGGTAATTTGATGGAGGTGTTTAAAATTATGAAATAATGAAGCAGAGTAGATTAAAACAGAATGCTTTCAGTGATGGAAAGGGCATAGAACAAAAGGTCATTGATAAAAGATTAAATGCAACAGGCCAAGAAAAGTGAGAAGAAAATGTAATGTTTAAACAGACAGAGGCAAGAGACAGTTAAGTGTTTATATTGTTCTTGCTTCCCCATATAAACATAGGTTAGAAAGATGGTTGAAAGAAGAGAGTATAAAGAAAACAAAAGAATAAAAAAAATCACTAAAGCATGTGATTAAACCAATGCTTGTATGAAAGATCAAGTATGTGTCGTCAGTTTTATGCTTCCATATTCCTTGCTGATCTAAAAGTGGCATCTCTTCATAGAACTGAATTGAAAGGTAGAAGCTTGGAATGAAATTCAGGTAGAAAACTGCTATTTAATATCGCACAGCACTGTGTGAATGGGACAAAGCAAACAACTCAAAGGAACCACTGGTATGATGGCTGTTGCTTTTGGGCTTTTGTTGGCAAAACTGTGTCATCAGTGAGGGGAACCAGCAAAGAAAAATTGTTTCTCATATGATTCTCTTCTAGAGTTAGACCCATGCAGAGACATATATTTCTTGTTTCATAACAGAGTATATACAATAAGCTTTGCAACTGATTACGCTAATATTTGTGACATAGCTCACCTGTGAAAACGCCAAATGTAAGATGGCTTCCGAGGTTAGATATTCTAAGTGATATTCACGGCTCAGTGCCAACGCTTTTAGAAGCAAAGGAACTGCCACTGCATGACATGAGGAACGCCAGAAAAGCTCAGCCTCCAAAATAAGAATTCTAAAAATAAATATTTATAAATACTTAGAACATATTAATAAAGTTTTGTGATCTCATCAGCATCAGAAAATAAGATCATAAGATCAAAATTGGAGCAGGACTAGGTTTTACAGTCCAAGTCGATTGTGATTTTAACTCCACTTCCCTGACTCTCTTCACCACTCCCCGCCCCCTCCAAAAAAAAAAATCCTTCCATTCCCATGCTCAGCAAAAATCTAAGTCAGCCTTGAACACATTCAATGATCCAGCTTCCACTGCACTCTTTGGAAGATAATTCAAAGACAAACAATCCCTCACAGAGAAGAAATCCCTTTTCATCTATGTCCTAAATGGGAGAACTTTATTTTTAAACAGTTTAAATTCACCACGAGAGAAGCATCCTCTCAGGATCCAACTTGTATGGTCCCCTTGTAATCATATGTTTCAAAAAGAATACCTTTCACTCTTCTCAACTCCAATGAATACAAGCCCATCCTGTTCAATCTTTCCTTATAAGATAACCCCTTTATTCTAGGGATCAGCCTTGTAAAGCTTCTCTAAACTGCTTTCAATACATGTATACACTTGGCAAGGAAAAAGAACAGAACAGTACATGGTATTCTAGGTGTCGTCTCACTAATTCCCTGCACAGCTATAGTAAGACAACTTCTTTTCGTACTCTCCCTTCTAGCAATAAAGGTCAACATTCAATTTGCCTTCCTAATACTTGCTGTATCTGCATACTACCTTTTTGTGATTCATGTACAAAGATACCCAGATCCTTCTGTTATTTCTATTTGAATAATATTCTAGAAGCACAGAATCCCTACAGCATGGAAGCAGGCCATTCCACCCATTGAGTCTACACCGACCCTCCGAACAGCATCCCACCCAAACTCACCTCCTACATTTCCCACCCTAGACACTATGGGCAATTTAGCGTAGCCAATCCACCTAACCTGCACATCTTTGGTCTGTGGGAGGCAACCGGAGTACCCAGAGGAAACCCATGGGGGGAATGTGCAAACTCCACACAGTCGCCCTAGGCTGGAATCGAACCCATGTCCCTTGTGCTGTGGGGCAGCAGTGCTACTGCTAAAGTAAACCTCACATTTTCCTACATCATACTCCATCTGCCAATATTTTGCCCACTCATTTAATGTATTTCTGTCCCTTTACAAACTCTCTATCATGATTTACTTCATTTCCTGCAACTACCTTTTCCTACTCTGTCCCTGACCATTGGATCAGACGCAAACAACAGGACCACCTTGGGAAGAAAATGTTCAGGCAACCTTCTCCCCTGTGATGCATAGCAATGTCTGAAGTTTGGACTTCAGCCTATCAAGTCTGAGCTGAAGTTCCTCAGGCCACAAACAGTTCAGAAGTACTTGCCATTGATCAAAGTGGTATCCATCAGCTCCCCCATACTACAAGTGAAATGCATCACTTGTCCTGCGATATTTATTTTGTTTTATCTAACTAGTTAAGTTTCAAGTATTGAAATATTTCTCAATAATTATGCAGGGTTTGTGCTATGGAGTCAGTCATGGTCTTGCTGTGATGTTGCAGTTTTCCTCTAAATTACCTTTTCCTTCATTAAAATTAATGTATTCCCCCTTTTCTAAATAGATTTCAGTTCAGCAACAGGCAATAAACCTCTGAGTTCTAAAACGGATGCCGCAAGTTGATCATTATGGTGCATTTTTATATCTAGATTACAGCCCATTTATTTCATCTCTGTCTCCACATAAAGCTCTTGACCTGGAGTACTTTTATTCACCATTTTTGTCTTAAATATTATGTTTCTTTTGCTTGTGCTATGGGATGGTCCTTTGAGTTACTTTGTGTCTCATTTCAGTTCTGCTGTCTTTGTATCCACAATTGCGTCACACAAATCAAAAGGTAGGTAAATAATTTTTCATAACACTATAATTTGGTTCATACAAGAACCTGGCCTTGGTATCTTCCAACATCACATGTAGTATGTACTAGTGTGACATTGAGTCAGAAACTTTAAAAATAAGTTGTCTGTTTCAGTGCCATGCTTCATCCATCCCTTGGGGCAAATGCTTACCAACTGATTCTATATAATGTTCTCAAGCGAACTAATAAAAATGAAAAAGCTCTGTTGGAGTAAATTCAAGAACAATTATGTAGGAATGAAAACTCATGCTACCCAAGTTCCTCAATGTCCTGGGCTGTCTGTAGGACTAGCACAATAAGTTTAAAAAAAGCTTTCTGCTGAGTATGGGTTTACATATAATTATTGGAAGAGACAGAGAAGATTTAATACCTATTTTTGTGATCATGTTATTCTGTCTCAAACGTACGTATCGTTGATATACTATGATTTATTGGTGCTATGGTTGGTATGGTACTGTAATGCAGAATTCAAAGCTATAATTAGCATAAGAAGTAAGTCTGCACTCACACTGGAATTGTGAAGTGTGAATGTTGCATTATGAGGTATGATGTCAATAAAGACCTGAGTAAACATATTGGATTCTGAGGTATTATGTCTCAATACAGACTTGAACCTGCATTACTACAACTGAATGTGTATGTATTCTAGTGTTTAAATAACTAAATGAATTAGAATAAGAAAGCAGTCCGACAGAAATCAGGGAATTCCTCTTGACACAAAGACTGAGGAACACATGGATTGGACTTCTAGATAAGAGTTGTCAAGACAAAAAATGCTGGAATCATGTAGGAAACAAATCAAATTCTGCAATTGGAAAGCAAAGATGTGTAGTTCTTCCTGGGTGAAAGAAATAAGATCAGACAAATTGACATTCTCATCAAAATTCTGTGATTTTGTCAGTGATGTTCATAGCAAAATCCTAAATCAATCTTGTCCAGACTAGTAGTCCCCAGGGCTCAAATGTTTAATGCAGTGAGAAGCCAAAACACATTTCAAGAGAACTTCATGTATAATGCCTTGTATGTAGTAAATTTCATTCTTCAGAATAGCAGCTGAGATACTACAACTGGTTACAGTGCATTAAATTAGGAAGCTTCAAGTCAAACCAAATTCATATTTTTTGGTCCCGTCAAAAATACTTTTGCATAGAAGATAGGTGAGAACCTGCTTGGCTGAGCTATAATGGCCCACAAAGAAAACGGGCTCCTTCTATGCTGCACACTTTGAGCCTATTGAAGCCATACTGACTCTCTGCAAGTACAGTTTAGTCCATCCCACTTCTGGCTCTTGCCCTGCAATTTTTCAAAATCTTTTGTTACCTATGGTATTCTCTTTTAAAAGTTAAAATTGATTCAGCCTCCACCATCTTGAATAGTGCATTCCACATCCCAATCACTTGCACTGTATACATGTCTTTTCTCCTCTGCATGAAAAGTTGCCCCTTGGGTCCTTTTTAAATCTTTCCGCTCTCACCTTAAACCAATGCCCTCTAGTTTTGAACTCCATTACCCTGGGGAAAAGACCTTGGCTTTTCACCCTATCCATGCCCGTCATAATTTTATAAACCTCTATGAGGTCACCCCTCAGCCTACGATGCTCCAGGGAAAATATCCCCAGTCTATTCAGCCTCTCCCTATAGCTCAAACCCTCCAATCCTTGCAACATCCTTGTAAATCTTTTCTGAATCAGAACTGAACGCTGCCAGAGGGGGTGGTGGAGGCTGGTACAATTACAATATTTAAAAGGCATCTGCATGGGTATATGAATAGGGAGGGTTTAGAAGGATATGGGCCAAATGCTGGCAAATGGGACAAGAGTAATGTAAGATATCTGGTTGGCATGGAAGAGTTGGACCAAAGGGTCTGTTTCTGTGCTGTACATCTCTATGACTCTTACTATCAACCAAATCCATATGCTCTGGTTCTTGTCACCTCCACCAGAGGGAAAGCCTTTTTTTCTATTTATTGTCTTGAACTACAATATTTTGAATACCATCAACTTTTCTTCAAAGGAGGACACTCACAACTTCTGTACTCTATTCCTATCAGACAAGTTCCCCATGTGCAATAGAACTATTTGTTATAATTTTTTGCACTACCTTTAAAGCTTTCTAAATAACACTTCAGGTGAGACAAAAATCAGTATTTGCTAAGATTCCATATAATTTCATTGCTTTTGTATGGTCCAAATGTTTTGTCATGTCAGAACTGCCTCTACTGAAGTAGGATTTTGAGATCCTTATTGCATGGAACTTCCAGTGTGCATTAGATCAGCTAAGAGCAAATCCAAGCTTTGTGGATTCATTTAGATAGTTAGGGTATCCTGTAGAAGTAAGGTACCCCTATTTATATGATCTGGGGACACCTTTGAGAGTTGGGAGTTGAGGGGCTTGGGTATTCTTTGTGATTGTTAACAGCAGTAAAGATTGTGCGTAAATGATGAATAAACCCCTTGGAACTGTAAAGCAGTTAGGGTGGAAAGAGCTATCAAAATGACCTCTGAGGAATTTTTATTTTTTCCTACAGTCCAGAAACCACTGTTCACCTGTCACTCAACCAAGTTCACACCCACCAATGTCACTTTATCTCAGTGTCAAACAAATTGAAGGCTATGTTGTACTTTATCAAACACCTGTTGAAGTCCAAACACAGCATCACCTGCATTAACACTTTACCTCAAAAAAACTCAAGTTAGGCACCGTGTGCCTTGAAATAATCTGTGCTGACTTTCCTTAATTAATAAAATGATAATGATAAAATGGTTTGCTCATTTTGGATATTAATTGAGTGATATGGTGCGTGGCTGCATATCATTCAACGTTTTTTGACTTGGTAGCTGGTATACCAGGTTTTCAGTAATAAGCTTCTTTCAGGTTGATACTAATTTATTGTACACTCATAACCTCAAATTGTACATTAAAAATAGCAATTTTCCACATCATTCACTGTTTGTTCTCTTCACAAATTTAATTAGTATCAGTTAGAATTTTGTATTAGTTGACTGGAAAGCCTCCTGTTTAGACGTGTTTGCTTTGTATCAGAGTGTTATTACTTACAATGTTAATACTGCTTCCACTTTTATATTTTAAACAAACTCAAAATAAAACTTGAAGACTAACGCTGATAAACTATTCCTTATAAATTCTAGTACCAAACAATAATAAGTTTAGTTGCATTCTGTATTTTTACCACAGATTGAGAATCATTCATTCGGACAGACTTAGTAATCTCGAAAAGGTAATACATTATCACAATAAAATATTACTCAAGCCTACTCAATGGCGATACATAGGGCCAAATTTTCTGGATCGGAAGGGGGTGGCTGACATCATCAGCCATTGTGCTGTTTTCCACCACAAGTTTTGTCAAAGAAGAGCAAGTTAAATTAACAAATTGATTTAATGGAGGCCCTATCTCCACATGGACTGGGATTTGCAGTCAGTAATGGCCTATTACACATTTCAATAAATCAACAAAACTTATCTAGCTTTCTCCCTTGCTGTCTTTATTTCTGGATGAGCTTGCCTGCAATCCCCAGCCTTTAACTGGCTCTGCATTTCAAAACTGCAGTGAGTGCATCTAAAATATAGCACAAGAGGGCAGGACCTGGAGCTAGAACCTGTCTCTGACTAAAAGTTCAATCCCTCGCGTTATCATCATTTTGGATAACTTATACGTGTAATCATTCCCAACTTACTTTATCAACATTTCTGTAGATTTTTTCTTCTGACAATGGACCAACAACTTTTGTAGAAGTCTGTACGATTCTGTGATTTGATTCTGAGCTTTCAGCACAAGTGCTTTCCTTTGGGGAAACATGGAAGAAAAACAATAAATGCTAATATATGAGGCCCTATACCACTGGACCGATCAAAATTAAGTTTAGAACACCCTGCATTTTAGTTAATATAGCAAGTTTTTATGATGTCATTATGCTGTTTTATTATTATATTTTATAATGCCAGGTTATACACAATGCATGATTAAAGACAATGATTTAGGTACCGCCATACTAAATCATTGAGATTTTTACCAGTTTTTGGGAGATTAAATTCCAAAATTCCATCCAGTTTTTAATGAAAACTTAAAAGCTTATAGCCTTGATGATTACATGCTCCTCTACTTATACACTCAATTTTACTTTTCTTCTTAAAACCCAGGATGTACAGCAAGATAGAAAGCATTAGGGTAGGCTCAAACAGATGAGCATTAGTCAGGAGCATTGTATGCCAATTGAAGAGGCTAATAAACTCAAGTTTAAAATCTCAAAACTTGAGAATGAAATATAATAGAGGAATCTCTCACAGGAGTAGGACAATAATATATGTAAAGTTACAATATATTGAGAGACTAGATTATAAGTTATATTTTTAAACTCTGCACCTATGTTACAAAGTCTTGCTTTCTCCTGTTGCTTGAGCAATTTGTTTGTTCATCTCTTTTCTAAGAAATTCAGATATATCCAACTTAAAATTTGTATAAATATTTCCAGTCAGTAAGGCAGTCAGGTAGAAACATTGTAGTAGAAATTTCAAACAGGACAGATATTTACATCTTTTATAATATGGTATCAAATTTGATGGTCAACAGAAAATTCATATTGCAGTAAGTATTGGTAGTACATTTCCTGTGGGCTGCTTGCCGATCATAAAAATAATAAATTACTACATTCAAATGCTAAGAATGTTAGTAAAGAGTAAGAATTTTAGAATTTCAACAAAAATATGGTGTCACTGCTTTTTTTTGTTCATCTGGCTATCAAGAGTCAGTCATAGTTTCTGAAGTAAAAAAAAAAGCCAATAAAATGTGAATCATTGCCTGAAAATTCTTTTTTCAATAGATTATTTGCTTTTCTTTTATTAAGTCATTTGAAATCAAAATTGAAAAAAAAAAAACATATTTGCACAAGTAAACAATTGATATGTGCTTGGAAATTGTGAACATGGCACTTATCTAGCATGTATCAAAGTAAATTAGGATTGTTTTAAACTGTGCTTGATGAACAGAAAAAATAGCAGCCAATAACAAAATGTGAATCATTGCCCTGGAAAAAAATTTTTCAACAGATTATTTATTTTTCATTTATTAAATCATTGCGAATCAAAGTTTAAAAAGCTTACATCTATATTTACATAAATAAACAACTGATACATGCCTGGAAGTTGTGAACATGGCACGTATCAAATTAGGACTGTTCTAAACCGCATGCTTGATCAGCACAAAAGCATCAGAGGTGGGCAAGGGAGTTGTGGTTTTCAGGACAGGTAGGTCTGGAAAAGACTCATAGATAGTGGAGTATTAGAGCAACTGGCTGGTTTAGAAGTTAGAACAGATATGGCATGGCATCTTTTAGAGTGTGTCAGAGGTAAAGATATACCCGCACCAAAATGTGTAGAATGACACTTCGGCAATACGAGGACTCTCAGGCACTCGTGCAAAATGAGCATCAGAGGATGAAATTTAATAGATGCATTAAGGATTGGAAGTAGAGTTGTTTATTGGCAAGTTAAAAAAGTGACATTTTGTGTTCTGAATGGTATTTTTAAACCTATCGAGCTGGAGAATTGAAGGAGACAATGGTAAGGAGAAGGGGAAACTTAATGGAACTTCTGTTCCCTTTTTATTGGTAGATTCTACTTACCGATTTTGTGTATTATTATTTAGTGGTTCTTAATTTTAATTAGAAAACTAGAGTTTTTGAATTGTAACATGCTACAATTATAAAATTTGAGGCAACATATAATAACATGACTAAAATTGACAATGTGATGGAGAAGTAAATGAGTGCCATTACATAAATGAATCCAAAAGATAAATGCAGAACCAGTTCATTTTTTTTGATGGGGGGCGCGCGGGTGGGGTCACTCAGCTCAACTGGCTATATGGTTGGTTTGCGACGCATAATGACACACACAGTACAAGTTCAACTTCCGTACCAGCTGAAGTCACCTGAAAGGCCCGACCTTCTCAACCTTGCCCCTCTCCTGAGGTGTGGTGTCCCTCAGGTTAAACTCACCACCACTTATATCTTTCTGAGAGACATCAACTGATGGTTCTCTGGAACTATGGTGACTTACACTTTCAATCTATTAGCAAATATGTAGGAGATATTAAAACTAAAGAAACAAGTATACTGGAGTAAAAAAAACAAAGTTGCTGGAAAAGCTCAGCAGGTCTGGCAGCATCTGTGAAGGAGAAAACAGTTAACGTTTCGGGTCCGGTGACCCTTCCTCAAGTATACTGGAGTTATGGTTATATAGCAGATTTCTTTCCAACAACGTCCATCAATGCAACCTCATCTACTGACAAAAAACAATAAACCTAGCCATTAGCTTCTCTGAACTTATAATAAAGACAACTATTTTGTTTAGAAGGAGAATTAAGCCTTGCTTGTTTTTGCAATTCAAGACAACTATTCAAAGTTAGCAAAGCTCACAGCTGAAAGGCTCTCCAGATCATTCAATTTGGTTTTAATGCTTGTTTCACAATTCAATGAAATCATGACTGATTGCTGATCTAATTCCATACAACTGTCTTCACTCCACATCTCTTAATACCTTTGGTGAACGATAATATATCAATCAGATGTTAAAAGTAAACAATTGATCCAGTTTTTGTAGAAGAGAGTCCCAAATCTCTACAACACTTTGCTTTGCTGAAAACATTTTTGCTGAGAACTATTCCTTATACTTACTTGTACAGTCCTTCTGGCCCATTAAGTGCTGCTATTCCAGGAACTAGGGAGTCAGCAATGTGATACTTCCCATCACTCATTGCTCGATTAAACTGTATATTTTGCTCAAACAGCATCCAGAGCTTATAGGTAAAAAAATAAAATTGAAAATTAACAATATCAAAGCTACTGTATGTTTTTTTGCCAGTAAGATAGTAATTTCAACTTGAATTAATATATTTGCTCCATTGTACACACTCGGTAACCTAGTAAGAATTCCTGTAGGCGTACAGTAATTCAGGTTTTCTACTGATATTTATGTATGTAATCAAAAGTTTGTCTTTATAAAGGACACCCCTAAAAACTTGAATGTACAATGTGCTAAGAACCACAAATTATCTTATTACTATGGAAATGTTACTGAAGACTACATAGGCTGCAATTTTATTTTCCTTAACGTTTCAAAGGCATATTTTCAAGCAAGATCTTTTCAGTAATTCAGAAAAAAAGCAGCATAAAAATATAGCAGTCTAATATTTGTCAAATTCAGTACAAGATATGTATCAAAATTATAAGACTTCAATTTTCAACATTCGTTTCAGTAAGTTGGAAACAGTCTGGTGAATAAACAATTAAAAGAATTCCACAAACTTTCTGAAGGTCAAATACACTAAAACAGGAACTGAACAACAAACTAAATTTGGGTTACAATTGTTTGCTCTCTGAAATCCATGCAGTTATACTGGAAAAAAATAGTCAAAGCTCCAATTCCTAATCATAAATGCATCCTAAAAGAACAAACACACAGGTTCTAGACTTAGACTGCCATTTCTACTATTAAGAGTCTCTTTGCAGCTTCCCTCTTTTCCTGAAAGGACATTTATGGCCTTTGTTCTTTTATCTCTCGCAAGGAACTCAACAATGTAGCTGATCATGATGACAAACCTACATCCTATCAAATTGGTGAAACCAGTTGATTGTCCAGCTCACTGTCTACTCCCACTGAATCCAACAGCAGTTCTTTCGTGAATACTGAAACAGAAGTAAGAGATCTTCATAGGTCATTAGCAACCTAACGATCATCAGACATCGGTCGCCAGATTTTTCTTTTAGAAACTGAAATTCACATGCCAATCAGCTGTCAGCAGCTTAAGGTAAACAGTCTATTTTGTATTTACAGCTCCATTAATTCAAAGTAAAAGTTGCAGTTGAGGCATTGACCTCTTCTTCCCAAAAACTGGTCAACTGAGTAATTGTTGAATTCAGTGCAATTAACAGTACTTGTTTTGAAGAACTGTTGCAATATTAAATTACTGTAATCAAAATGATGACATTTATCTTCTGTATCAAACAATAACTGCTAGCACAATTGTCACTGTACCTTTGCATGCTGGCTGTGGGGAGGAAACCGTTCTTTCAAATGCTTTAGGATTTCAGAAGCAGCTGAATAATAACCCTACAAATTCAAAACATGTGTATTATTTAAACTAACAATCACATTCAAAGATGCAAAGAATATTAAATTGCAATAGCAATTCAACTGCTAGGGTTTCTATTAAAGGGGAAGAAGAAAAGGGGAATTCAATTTTCTGTTTTTTTATATTAATTGCCCAGTTATTGATATTTTGACACTGAAATTATTTTAGGAGCTCTGGATCACCGCATCATGGAGTCAAATCATTATGATTGTTCATAAAAAGACCAAGAGTCATAAAACTAACACACTTTTCAGTAGTAAACCCAAGTTGGTTTGGAAGTGATTAGTAGTCCACAGAGCCTGAAAGAATTGAATTGACAGCGTAGCGACAAATTATTAAGAGCATTCGGCTATGGCTACCTCTAATAGCTCCCTCTTATGTTTTGGTTACGTAACTGCTTTTAGCCAAATAACACATATGAACCTTACATGAAACTTGCTAAATCAAAACAAAAAGTCCTTTTGACCAGTTTAAATGTTACCAAATTCCTAAATAATATTCTGAAGTACAGAATTTAAGTTAACTGTTTTTCATAATGCAACACTTTCTAATTATAGAGACTTTCATTCCAGTTTCTCAAACATGTAATAGTGGTAGCACACAGTGATGAGACACGTTCAGGATCATTTCACCGAGTTCTAAATCTACCTAATAAGGGCACTGAGATCTCACTAGACAGAGGTGAAATCAGCTGTAGATTTATTTTTGGCCAACATACCACTGTATCAGAGTAGGCCCCTAAACATCCAAAACAGACGTTCTGCACAGCTTTATCCCAATTCTGGATCAAGGTACTGGAATTAACATTTTTCACAATTTTGGAAATGGACAGCTTTCAAGTATGAAGAGATATTAATTTGGAGATTGTGTTAAGGAAATAACACTCCATTATGCTTATTTTAATTTTGAGAGACGGAACGTGAAGAACAATGATTCTCCCACTTCTGAGAGTTTAAGAAAACGCAATCACCACGTGATTACTACTCTAACCATGTGACATTATACTGTAATTAGGAACTGGAATCATGTCAGGAAGATCACTGTTCTGGTAAATAAAATCTTCAAGCAATATTCTTATAAATAGCTAGCTGAAACACTTAACTATCCCAGATAATTCTGCTAGACAAAATGTGAGATTTTGCTCTTGGTTTATGCATGGTAACCTAATCTCAGTTGAGGTGCATTAGAAGCACTATAATTGGTGTCAGCACATCTGGGTCAAGGGAGAAGTAAAGTGAAATTGCCTAGTTGTTACTTATCATCCAGTAAATTCTACTCAAGCATGCAAATCAATGCATTGTTTTAGACTCAACTATAAAGTTCCTTGTGATCAAATATATTGTTAACATTGACACATAGAAAATGGTCACTTGGGTGATGTACTATCAGATGGAATTTTTTATTAATAAGATCTGCAGGGAAAAAAAAACAGTTGGCAAGGCGAAAGGTGAAAAAAATCCACAAAGCCAACTTACCTGTTCTGCATGAAGTTCTGCCAGGTGACAAAGTACTACAGCCATTGCTTCAGTGTTATTTTGATGGATATCCATATTTACTGACTCCAGAGTGTGCATATACAGAAGAAGTTGTGTTTGCTGTAGTGCCATTGTACTAGAAATGATTAAAAAGACTTAAGTAGTCGCATCAATAGTAATTTATTGGCAATTATGACAAATACTTTTGAAAGTTTCATCGAGTAGGTAAATCTAATTCATGTAATTCAGAAATATACAACAAAGCAACATCAGAACGAGGGTGCAAACTTGGCACCAACTCTCATCGAGAGTATCACCTCATAAAAGGAAGGAAGAGAATAGAGATCAGGTTCCATTGTAATGCCTCCGTTTCTGCCATCTGACAAATCTGCTTGCTCGTGATCATTGGTAAGCCTCACATCACCTGCTAGAATATTGTGCCAGAGTATACGAGCTCGTTCCCAATTTCAGTTAATGATTAGAAGAAACTTAATAGGGGGACTGATGCTTTTATTCTTTTTGAAAGTTATCACTCTGTTATTTGAGATAACCTAGCAGAAAGTAACAGAATTGGACAAAGCCCTAAACAAAAAAAATGAAAGAAGTGCAGAAACTGGAAATCAGAAACAAGAGCAGAAATGGCTGTAAAAACTCAGCAGGGCTGGCAGTATCCGCGGAGAAAAATCACTTTTTCAGGGTCACTGGACCCGAAACATTAACGTTGATTTCTCTCCGCAAATACTGCCAGACCTATTGAGTTTTTCCAGCCATTTCTATTTTTGTCACTATTTGTCCTTCCCAGTTATCCAACAATGAAAGATATAACTGAATAACTCTTACACTTTTAGTTTTACTCCTAGGGGTTGAATGGTATGCAACTTATTCTGCACTGAGTTCATAAAAATGTTAACACACTTTTACATACCTTTGACCATACATTTTCCAAATTGCAGTTTTCTGAGCTATGCTTACATCAATAAGCTCTGAAAGTCCATGTTTCCAATGTAACATGTCAGAGTCCTTCATGGCATCCATTAACTTGTTAGCTGACCTTCCAGAAAAGGTCCTTTGTTGTACGAGTGATTGGATGCCCAGAGATGCCAGATACTACAAAATAAAAACAGTTAGATATTAACACACCAGACTCATCATTTGTGTTGTTTATGCAAAGTGGTACACATTACCATGTCAGCATTCATTTGCAATGCCTAGAACTCTGAGCATATAAAGATAGCTGCAGCCTATGTTGGCAAGACCAGATAGGATGGCAGATTCCCTTCTATGAAGGACATCACGTGAAGCAATTGGGTTTTTATTATTTCACAGTTACTATATTTATTAAACTTAAGATTTAAATGATAGAAAATGAACTCTCAACTGTGTTTGCCAGTCCAATTCAAAATCTACATGATCATATGGCAATAAAACATCAAATTTAATTTTAGCTTTCTTATTTGGTCAATATGTTATTGTTCTATAGAAAGTACTACAAATACGTATTTAAAAGACATTTCTGATTATAGGTTAAAGTAGAAAATTGTGGTAACTTTTGTTATCACCTAAAGTGGTCTGAAGGAATGCCTGAGACCTAATAGAATGAGGGAATAAGTGATGGATATATTGAGAGTTAATTAAATTTGACCTGGTTGTATAGATTGGATGGTGGTATAATCAGTGGTGAAAGTTTTATGGATCCTGGTTAACTGAAATAAAGTTCTCACTTAAAAGTGTAGACGCAAATTCTTCTAAAATCATTATCTTTTGGAGTTTACGAATTTATTAATTTTATTATTCAGAAGGGAAGTTAATTAATAACTGTTCATGCTTAATTAGTATCTAGTTCTAGAAAGTAAAATTACTCACAGGTAAGCCAAGCTGTCCAGCCTTTTTCACAGAATGTTCAACGAGAACTGCATTATCAGATCCCTTCATTTGCTCCAGAATGTACAGCCAACTCTAGAAACAAAGCCATGATTGGTGTGATGAACTTAGACTAAAGTCAAACATCAATATTTAAATTTATTTTTTAGAGCATCAAATTAGTAGAAATGCACTAATAAAGACAGAATAATGTGGAGACTAAACTAAGACTCCTTACCAGGCAGTGCTGTAAACAAACATGATCACTGGATTCTTGTGCAATACGAATAGCTTCCTGTAGAGCAAACTGGGCCTGCTCCCTGCATATACAAAGATACCAAAGTCAGATCATCAGAAAGCTATGTAGTAGCATTAGCTATAGTCTAAATGTCCTAAATATATTAGGGAAAGACCTTGGAAAGTGGTTCTCCAATGTTAATTAACTCCTGGGATCCCTTGCTGTTAAAACCCACATATTTGTATTGTCATTTAAAAATAGCCATGCCAATGTTAATAAAAAACGCATTTTTGTTTAGAGTGCCATCAATTTCTCTCGTGGTTCAGCAAAAGTTATACGGGTCACCTCTAGCACAATCATTTTGCTCCTGTTACAGACATAATTGGGAATACTTCAAGCATTCAACATGCCTGCTTCAGCAATGTTTCTGGGCTACAACTAAAAGGGAAGTTTGAAATTGATGGGAGGTGGTGGTGATGCTGCAGACATTGTTGAAAATCACCTAATTATTGCTGCACTCTGCCTCCAACAGCTATGTACTGCTACAAATCTTTTGTTAACTTAGAGAGGAAATCTTAATTTCTACAGAATTAAAAACATTCACATTTAAGACTCTTTAACATGGACTCAATAACTATAATCAAACCTAATACTCACTGATGGCCAAATCTACAGTTTAAAGCAGCGAGATTGAGAGCTGCATATCGCAAACTTCGTCCAAATCCATCCTCTCCACTGCTTTTGCTATCACTGCCGGTAAGAATCAACCGATCGAAATAGTGAAGCAGGCTGTGCATAGCACTGAAATAGTCTTGTACACGAAGGCTGTTTAGGTAGCTCAAATAATGCTGGAATTACAACATAAATACATATACAAAATAATAAATTTGTTAAAACATATTAAATCGCACACAAATTTTCAAGGTACTTTATGAGAAACACGGTCCATTTAATTTATTGTCTTTTGACACAATTAGGTTCTGTTGAGGGAGGGAGAGGGTCATCAAGGACTGTCACTGAATTAAAATGTGACAGCCACAGATCAAAATTTATCGAACCAGTTCAAATTAACAGATTTTAAAAACCCAAATTACTTCAGAGGCACAGAAATATATTCTATTACCACCCCATAATTTATGAAATATTAAAACATAATAATATTTACAGCACTTGGAAAATGTAATCAAATATTACATGTTCATTCATCAGTAAAGTAATGGTATGGAATTTCTAAATAATCCTGTGTCATCATTTACCTACTTTTCTTTAATTTGTCTTGGAATGAGAGTATCTTTAATTGGTCTTAAAAAGTTATCGTAAACCGGCTTTTAGAAGCACTTCAGTCCATGATGGAGGGTGAGGCAAGTACACCCATAATGCTGTAAGGAAGGGGGTTCTAGGATTTTCATAGAATCATAGAATCCCTAGTGTGGAAGCAGGCCCATTGAGTCTACATCAACCCTCTGAACAGCATGCCACCCAGACCCACCCTCCTAATTTATCCCTGTAACTCTACATTTCCCATGCCTAATGCACCCAGCTTGCGCGTCTCTGGATACTATGGACAATCTAACATTGCCAATCCACCTAACCTGCACATCTTTGGACTGTGTGAGGAAACCAGAGCACCCGGGAGGAAACCCATGCTGACATGGGAAAAATGTGCAATCGCAGACAGACAGACAGACAGTCACCTGAGGGTGGAATTGAACCCAGGTGCTGTGAGGCAGCAGTGCTAACCACTGAGCTGCCCCCAACGGGAGTTTGAACCCGTGACAATGAAGGAGAAGTGACGTACAGTAAAATAATAGCAGGTCAAATCCCAGGATGCATACCCCCAAAAATTCAGGGATTCAAGGAAGCTCCTATGTAACCTGTTTTGCCTACAAACGTGTTCCTATGTCAGAAAAAGGGAAAACAGTGATGCAGCAAATGTGTGAAAGTAATCTCTATTTTTCAAATTGTTGACAACTTACAATAGGCTGACTTTGCACCATAAAAGGCATGGAAAAACATTGAGTTAGCTCTGGAAAAACTCAATAATTCTCTTATGCTTGGCAAGCTGTCTTTGGATTAGGGCTATATACGTCACCAAGTCATAATGCAGTAAAACATGTTTTTCATATTTTTGTGCTGCAGTGCAACATTCTGAATTGCATAGCTCAGCTCAGGATGCAGGCAGGTCTGATCCTTTAGGATCACAACTGCCTTGGACTCTTTGTTTTAAGAATATACTCCATCCATGAAGTCCTCATCTGTCAATTCAGTTGTCCAGGCACCTCAATGCAAGTTTCCATAGTTGCCTTCACTTTAAATTCCATGGTGGCCTCTTACAGGCAATGAAAAGAACCTTATCATCGGATCAGCTGGTCACACCTGCAGTTCCTCATTTATGACATCTTCTGCAAGTAGTCGTAGTGCATTTAAACCTAGTGTTACGGAAGCAGTTGGCAAATGTGGCATCCTCACCATCTTTCACTGTTCTTCCTCAAGAACACTATCTCTACAAAATTCGAGTTGTATTTCTGCTCTTATCGATGACCTCGATAAGCTGAAAGGTCAGGTAATGTTGGTAGTTGGTTTTAAGGCTCCTAATCACCCCAGAACATTGGCTTTTGCATTGGGAGACAAAACTGTCAGCTTAACCCTCAAGGTCAGCAATGTTGGGGTATAAGGGGCTGTTGTCTATGACGATGATCATTTTCCTTTCATAGAATCATAGAATCCCTACAGTGCGGAAACAGGCCCTTCGGCCCAACAAGTCCACACCGACCCTTGGAGCATCCCACCCAGACCCATCCCCTTATAACCCACACACCCCTGAACACTACGGGCAATTTAGCTTGGCCAATCCACCTAGCCTGCACATCATCTGTTATTACATTTTGTCCACTTTCCAGATCTATGCCTCAAAAAAATTACTGAAGGACACCCAAGGGACGTCGTTAACATCATACTGCAAGAGTGGTCACTTGCTGTTTGCAAAGCAATGTGTCTTCACAGACTTTTCCAACAGAGGAGAACCAGCTATTTGGTGCCATCGATGTTGGCAGAAACCACAGCAGGGTCACGTTCCTTGCTTCGCTTTCCACCATTACGTTTCAACGTAAAATGTGTAAAGAGTAATCTGGTAAAAGACAGTAAATGTTTCCAGTTTCATCCATGTTAAAAATGCCTTTTGGTATATACTTGTTTACGACATGGGCAAGACTATTTTGAAGCTAATAATCTGTCATTGCTGCCATGTTTGTATGGCCAGATAGCTGAAGGCCCGATTTAGCAGACAGAGCTGATGGGACTCTCAGGACAGGTCAAGCACAAAGCATCCATTTAAGACAAAGGAAGGCAAGGACAAGTCCAGATTTGACCTGGAAATTGAGATTGCTTTGTGTTCTGGAGTAAGATGAGCAGCCTCGGGGGCACCCTGGGTTCCAAGGGGGATATACCCATGACACATCGGAGCATGTATGCCTGGGATCCCATTGGACATCCTGGCCTTAACCTGGAAGATCGATTGTTCTCTGGCCTCCAGTCATTCTGCAAAGATATAGCAGGGAGGGATAAGAGGGTCACCTGTTGGTTATTCCCACAGCAAACACTTGACCTCCACGAGCAGCACAGCTCCAACCGCCTGGAAAGAGAAAGATGACCAATCTTCACCAAGTTCATCAGAGCTGATTGCATGGCCTGGCCAGGTTTTAACTGCATTGATAGTTCCTGGTCCTAGTATGGTTGCCAGCTGTAGTTTAAATAAGTATTACGACAGAGACTTAATGTTGGGAGTGGTAAAGTAATTAATGTAAAAATCGTGAGTTTAATCACGTAAGAGCAGGGTTTTAAGAGTATTGAGGCCGTATGGCCCCTTTTGACTCTTCAGGGTATTTTGTGAATAACTGAATTGTAAGTCAACTCTGACTCTTTTGCTCGTCTCACAAGTATAGTTCCCAAGTAAAACGAGTTCACATAGAAACCATTCGAAGTGTCCAAAACATGAACAACAACTGCCACATCCTTAACGCTTACCACTTGGAAGATGACTCCATGCCTTGCTTTGAATTGGTTCAGTCATCTATATCTGCAGGTGAACCTGTTGTGATCCAGCCTCTTTCCTAGGACTACTTCCATTTATTGCAGAATTGCGAACGCTGTGCTCCAGCTGCTTTGCAACACCTTAGCAGACCTATGAAACATTAGGACAGGCAGCCATTCTCACCCTCTTCCTTGGACAGAATGCCTACATGTCAAACTGTTCCAAGGTGTTCACCTTTAACTTCACAATGGCTGACAAACTCTATCGTTAATTCGCCCATTCTTTAGCGATAGTCGCTTTTTGGTTTTGCTACATCAACTTCACTTCATTTCCAATTGACAGTACTTCAAACTTTCTCACAGGTTTAATTAAACTTCACTCTGGTTGTCTGGCTCAGTCATATGACAAGCATGCAACAGCTCGGCTAAGCCAGAGTTATCAGACTGGAACTTCAGCTTATTACAAACACCTAGCTCTTGGACTTCCTATTCTGCCAGCTGGAACGGCTGACAATTTTGCCACAACTGGAGTTTTGAGTTAACATAGTGTGGAGCTGGAGGAACACAGCAGACTAGGCAGCATCAGAGGAGCAGGAAAGCTGACGTTTTGGGTCGGGACACTTCTTCAGAAAATGGAGTTTTGAGTTATCAGAATTTGACTGATCGCAATCTAACTGTAGTTCCAAGTTAGAATGGTATGTGATTTGGAGGTGGTGATATCCTTATGCATCTGCTTCCTTGGTCCTAAGCTGTAGAGGTTGTGGGTTTGGAAAATGGTGTTACATAGGCATCAAGAGTTGCTCCACTTCACCTTGTAAATGGTGCACACTGCCACCGCTGCACGTCAGTGGTGAAGGGAGTGAGCAGTAAAAGATGATGGATGGGATGCCAAGCAAGCTTTTTTCTGAGAGGTGTTGAACTTCTTGAAGGTTACTAAATGTCCATGGAAGATGGTAAATTTTCACTTGCTGTAGATGATCATTCATTGGCACTTTGGGATGTGAATGTTACTTGCCACTTAAGCTTAAAAGTTTTCTAGGTATTGGCATAAATGGAAACTGAATGCTTCAATATCTGAGGTGATGTGAAATGTGGCTGAACATTGTGCAATAATCAACGAACATCCCTTCCTCTGACTTTATGATTAAAGCAAGGTCATTAATGAAACAGCTGAAGACGGTTGGGCCTAGGAATGCCTGCACAGACGTCTTTGGTCTGAGGCCACTGACTGCCAAAAACCACAATGATCTTCCTTCGTGCTGAACATGACTCCAACCTGCAGAAAGCCATCCCATCCCCATTCCCACCAATTCCAAGTGTGCTAAAGTTCCTTGATGTCATACAGTTAAATATTGCTTTGGCGTAAAAGGCAGTCACTCTCACCTCATCCCTGGAATTAAGTTCTTCTGTTCATGGTTGGCTTGAGGCTGTAATCACGTCAATAGTAAGCAGCTCTACTGGAACTCAAACTGAGCGTCAATGGGCAGGATCATGTGCTGCTTAGTAGTGCTGTTGACAACCCCATCCCTCACTTTGCTGATGACTGAGAGGAGATTGATGGGGTGGTAATAGGCTGGGTTGGATTTGCCCTTGTTCTTTTGGTCAGGACATATATGCACAATTTTTCGCATTGCTGGATAGATGCCCGTATTGTAACTGTACGAGGACAGCTGGCGAGGGGTGCAGATAGTTCTGGAGAAAAGTCTTCAGTACTATTGCCAGAATGTTGTTAAAGTCCGTAGCCATTGTAGTAGCATGCCTTCAGCCATTTCTTGATATCACATTCAGTGAATCGAATTGGCTGAAGGCAACAAGTCTGTTCTTAGGGACTTCTACAGGAGGCCAAGATGGACTATCCACTCAACATTTATGGCTGAAGCTGGGCCCAAACTACTCTGTCCATTACTTTGCTAACGAGAATCATAAAGCGTCACTAATGATGGCTGATTTTCTTTTTTAACTTTAAAAACTATTACAAATGGTTTTGTTGTAAGAAAGAGGAATCTAATTCACACACATTAAGAGTTCAAATACTTACAGCTTCTGAAAAATCAGGATTAAATTTGAGTAAATTATTTAGTTCTTTCTGTAGAGTAGCTGGTGAAAGAGCCTTGTTTTCATTGTTTTTCAACAGCGATGCCTACAAAATTTAATAACCACGTTCATCAGTTCATATAAGCAAAGCTGATAAACTAGCCAATGGTGACATCATAGTATTATTTAATGCTTTAAACATACGCCAAGCAGAATTTAATTCCATACTTACAGAAGATTTTCACATTGTGGAAATGATCATAAATATGAACTTGTTTTTTAATTTGATCAAGGACAATTTAAACCAGTGTACAGCTTGTGATTCAAAGTCAATATTAAACATTGCATTTATATCACACATACGCTGTCTCTCTTGGGAATTATATTCCTACAGGCATTTTTCTCCAAAAAACTTACCATTTTAACTCATATCAACTGCAGATAAGTGGAACAGTTGACCTTTTTATGAAATATTGCCTCGGTCTTATATTTTCTGTCTCTTTTAGAAGTTATAATTTAGAACCCCCTTACTTCCTACAGTCGGTTCTGCTAAAACATGTGTTTCTTCAACACGAATTGGGTTTAACGCAATTGAAGAATTTAGATCGCCATTTATAGAATGCAAACTTTCCTCACCTGTATTGGCTATAACACGATACTGGCCCGATTTGTTTAAATGGCGCAGGTATTATGTGATTTTCTTACAATGCAAGATCACACAAGAACCAAACTATCGCATTATTTCAGAACCAACTGTATTTCATTTATCTACTTTGGAAATGGATGCAACTTTTTTTTTTTAGAAAGTAAGAGTCAAGGGTTGATCAAATGACTAATTTTGTCAGAGAGCAGAGTGAGATAAACTTAGGAAGGTTGTGAGCAGATCAGTCTTTAACAAATAGAAACTACTGACAAGTGAACCTGACAGCAGTGTTGGGTAAGTTGTTGGAATGGATTCTGACAAGATTTACATGTATTTGGAAAGGCAAGGGATAGTCAACATGGCTTTGTGCGTGGGAAATTGTGTCTCACTAAATTGAGTTTTTTGAAGAAATGACAAAAAAGATGGATGAAGGCAGAGCGGTGGACACTGTCGATATGGACATCAGTAGGCATTCGACAAGGTTTTGCATGGTAGACTGGTTAGTAAGGTTAGATCACATGGAATACAGGGAGAACTAGCCATTTGGATACAAAATTGGCTCGAAGGTAGGAGACACAGCGTGGTGGTGGAGGGTTTTCAGACCGGAGGCCTGTGACCAGAAATGTGCTGCAAGGCTCGGTGCTGGGTCCACTGCTTTTTGTCATTTATTATAAATGATTTGAAATGGGACCATAGGAGGTATGGTTAGTAAGTTTGCAGATGACACTAAAATTGGTGATACAGTGGACAGTGAAGAAGGTTACCTCAGAGTACAACGACACCTTCATCAGATGAGCAAGTGAGCTGGAGAGTGGCAGTTAGAGTTTAATTTAGATAAATGTGAGGCACTGCATTTTGATAGGGCAAATTAGGGTAGGACTTGTACACTTAATGGTAAGGTCCTGGGGAGTATCACTGAACAAAGGGATCTTTGAGTGCAGGTTCATAGTTTCGTGAAAGTGGAGTCACAGATAGACAGGGTAGTGAAGAAGGAATTTGGTATGCTTACCTTTATTGGTCAGTGCATTGAGTATAGGACTTAGGAGGGCATGTTGTGGCTATACAGTACATTGGGTATGCCACTTTTGCAATAGTGCGTTCAATTCTTGGCTCCTTGCTGTAGGAATGATGTTGTGCAACTTGGAAGGGTTCAGAAAAGATTTACAAGGATGTTGCCAGGGTTGGAGGGTTTGAGCTATAAGGTGGGGGTATTTTCTCTGGAGCATCAGAGGCTGAGGGATGACTTTATAGAAGTTTATAAAATCACGAGAGGTATGGATAGAGTGAAAACTCAAGGTCTTTTCCCCAGGAGTGAGGGAGTCCAAAACTAGATGGCATACTTTTAAGGTGAGAGAGGTAAGATATAAAAGGGACCGAAGGGGCAACGTTTCCATGCAGAGGGTGGTGCATGTATTAAATGAACTGCCAAAGGAAGTGGAGGAGGCTGGTACAATTTCAACATTTAAAAGGCATCTGGATGGGTATATGAATAGGAAGGAATTAGAGGGCCAAATGCTGGCAAATAGGACTAGATTAATTTAGGATATCTGGTCGGCACGGACGAGTTGGACTGTAGGGTCTGCTTCTGTGTTGTACATCTCTAGACACCATGACCAGAACTGTACACAGTAATCCAGAAGAGACCTCACTAATGTCCTGTATGACCTCAACATGACATCCCAACTCCTAAACTCAAAGGTCTGAGCAATGAAGGTAAGCATGCTTAATGCCTTCTTAACCACTCTGACTTCCTATGATGCAAATTTCAAAGAATTATGCACCTGGATCCTGGGTCTCTCTGTTCTACAACACTTGCCAGAGTTCTACCATTAATTGCAGAAGTCCTGCCCTTGTTTACCAAAATGCAATACTTTGCATTTATCCAAATTAAACTCCATCTGAAATGGACAAACTGGGCCTGTATTCTCTATAGCTTTGAAGAATGAGAGGTGATCTCATTGAACCTTGCAAAATACTTAAAGGAATAGACAAGATACATGTCTATAACTAGGGGGCACAATTTAAAAATAAGGGGAATGCCATTTATACCATGATGTGGAGAAATCTTTTTACTTGCAGGGTTGGGAATTTTTGGGATTCTACCCCAGAGGGCTAAAGTGAAATTTAAAATGGTTGTGAGCTACAAGCAACAGCGCTGGATTTTATTGATAATCACATTAATGCAAACAGCTCGCATTAAAATAACACCTTTTAGATGGAGCAGAATCTTCTGCTGATGGCTGCAACAGACACAACTGAAATATCTGACTACTTTCCCTGCTGTTTCCTGGGAGGGAAAGATTCTGCCTCTGGGAAAATGCCCCAAGGCACATCTGATGAATTTTATCAAAGAAAATATAACAATAAGCTACATACGTGAGCTTTGTCAATGAGGAAGCTTTTAAGGAGTGGCTTAAGAGAGAAAAAAGTGGTAAAGAGGGAGAGAGATATGAATGGAGTTCCACAAGCAATGATGAAATGATTAAAATCACAGCTGCTAAAAGTTGGGGGAGGATACCAAAACAGAGCATGGGGAGGCTATCGAGGAATTTCAAAACAAGTGTGAAAATTTTGAGCCTTTACTTTAGTTACTATTTGATTCTTTGTTCCCAATGTTTAACATTTCAGAAAATCTCATCATACCAAAGACTGGCAGAACAGAAACAGAACTGTTATTGTGCAGTACCCGCATCAGCTTTCCAAATGAACATTATGACTTAGCATCATCCTCCAACCCTTTCCCTGTATGCAATCAGACAAATAAATACACCGATAATCATCTACAGGCATTCCTTAAGTTGACAGGAAGTGCTTTTCATTTGTAACAGGAAAGTAAACCACCAATGTGGGAGGTATGGTATTCAAAAACTGATACCTTACACTCAGAAACAGTCACGGTGTGCATCTTCCAAACGTGACTCGATCTAATATTTCGGACACATTAAGGACTGCACTTTACTCGGAAGCAGAATGTTAAACTTCTTACCTTCCAACTTTGGTAACTTTTAAGGCATGTATCTGTGGAGAACAGTCAAAGGAAAAGTATGGAGGGGAGAAGGTACATAATAATGAAAAGAGGGTGAACTGATTTGGAAGCAAACCTGCTACACTGAATGTTTACAAGGTGTTAAACCTAAAAATAGTAAAGGGAGGACTTGTATTTGTATAGCACTTTTCACAATGTCAAGCTGTCACAAAGTGCTTTACAGCCAATGAAATACTTCTGAAGCAGAATCACTGTAATAATGTTGGAAATACAGCAGTCAATTTGCACACAGCAAGGTGCCACTACAATCAATTAAGTAATCAGAGATCTGCCTTTAAGTGTTGGTTTCATGCTCAATATTGGCCTGTACATAGGCAGAATTTCCTGCTTGTCTTTATATGAACCTGCACCCCCAATGGTGCAACACGATAATAAATTTCTTTAATGAGCCGGGATACAGAAGGCCACAAGTGGCATTGTTCTGATACCACTTGACAAATGAGGGCTTTTAAAAGAAGCTCCACGCACCTGTTGAAAATATACATCCATCTTATCTGGTGTGCAGAGGTCTGTACTAGATTTTGACAAATTTTAGAAAAAGGGTGAAGACGGTGCAATAAAAGAATACATAATGGAATTAATTAAATTGTAAGCAAGACCACAAAAATTCTAGCTGGATATTTCCCAATCTTGTGCTGGCATTTAAGTTATTGGACTGTGTCAAAGTATCGAGCTGAGACTTCTAGTTTTGACAGGTATTAAATTTGCGATAGACAAACACTACCAGAACAAGTGTTGGAAGCACTTAAAAAAATTATTCGTAAAGTACTCCTTTGTAACAGCATTCATGGTGCAATTGGGCAATCAGGCAATCAGCCATATGACAAAATTGCGTCTTCCATTTTTTTTGTCAGCTGGCAAGACAGTCTAGATTTGATCACAGGCAACAATACGAAAGAAGAAATTTTACCAAGAGAAGTAGAGGTCAGAAGTGCCTTTGACAATTTTGAGAAGCAAAGAGAATTTGGGACTTGCAATGAAAGCCTGCAATGCAGAAATGCCCAAATATGCTAAATCAATGTCTTGGGTATAATTCAAAGTATCATGAACTGTCCCAAAAAGTATAACAATGTGTTCAAAATTAAACTCGAAATGGAATATTCAGAAGATTGTGGAGGAGATATGGATCAAAGAGGGGACATTGTATTAGTTATAGATGTTTCAGCCAGTGATTAATGTGAATCTTTCACTTGTGCAGTATTAGATAGCAGATGCACATCTACAATGAGTAACAGACTGGCTAAAATGTTACCTACACTCTGAATAAGTTGGGTGAGAACAAAGTTTAGGAATTTGAGAATTTCATCAGTTTCAGTTTTGGGGATGATAACATATTAAAATCTTTAAAAAGAGAAATCATTCCTCGTCAAATAGCTGGAAGTAATTATAGGCATGGTTGTCGTATTAAGTGAAATAATGTTATTATAAAGTAGGCTACAAATGAGAAAAGTACAGACGAAACTGGATCTAGAAAATGACAACAGTATACTATTCAGTAAACAATCAGGATACTGTTGTGTTTCTTTAATCAAACATAACCTCTCAACTAGGCTTACTGACATTGGGGGCAGAAATTTAGAAAATGAAAAAAAAAGTTAATTGTACCAAAGTTACATAGGCAATTTGTCCATCTGTCCTCTAAAAGGGGAAAGTAGTTAGCAAAAAGATGCAGGAATAAGGGATAAAGAATACAGTAAATTTTTAGAAGAGGTGTGATGGATGTTAGATTTGTAAGAAATACTAAAGGGCACTGTCACAGCCAAACATTGATCTGCCTTTTGCAATGTCGTGGTTATGGACCGAAAAAGTACAGCATTAAGGAAAGACATTGCCAAATCTACAAAATATAAAATGGCAGAGTAGTCAACTTACAATAATACACAGTAAACATAAGAAAATAATTGTGTATAAGCTAATGCATAAGTGGACAGGGACTGGATTTGGACAATTAGCTAAATTTCTCACTGGTAATGGGGGAAGCTTCACTAATGATGAATTTAGAGATATGAACAAATTTGAACATAATAGTTCTGAATACAGCCACAGTATGAACTTTTAGCAATATAGCGTGCAAAAGGAACACGTTGAAATAGACGATATGGTTCATAGCATTTTGGCAGATCAGCCAAACTGTAAATTATTATTTGCAGTAGCATTGGCCGTCTATTCTAAGAATTCACTTCAGATGGTTGGAGCTGGCTTTTGGTAGAAATCTTAAAGTTTCATTCATTCATAGTAAGTGATCAGCCCTCAGTTTGAAAAGGGACTAGAAGCAGCTCCTTTTTTGGACTATTTGAACACACTGCATGCAGGCAGAAAGGTTTTTGTTCAAGCTAAAGTCTCAGAAAGAATTTAGCAAGTTTTAAGACATAATGCACAATCAGTGGAAGCCAGTTTCAATCAGGAAAACGTTGCTAATTATGAAAAGATGGGGCTCTTAAAGAGTGCAAGACCTGTGAAAGGTTATTCATAAAGGTGGAAAAATAATAACTGTACAACCTGGGAACCAGATTGCTCAGGTACACTTTTCAAGGTTTCTGGGTATAGACTACAAATTTGCAGATTCTAAAGGATTTATAGAGAAAGTACCAAGGAGTCATTACTTCTCATGACTAAATATAACCATGAGGATCAAACTGTTCCAATTGACAGTTCGTCAGATGATGGACTGATAAGTTCTGATGATCAAACGGAGATCTTCAGTCCCAGAGGATAACTACTAAGGGTAGGTACCAAAGTCAAATATTTATCAGGAAGGAATAGTAAACAGAAAAATATAACACGGAGGGGTACAGGAGAACATAAAAACTGGCTGAATTTACAGGTTGAGGGGCAGGAGGTTAAGGCCAAGGATTAGGAACAGAAAAAAATGGAAGCCAAGAAAACATGCCTGGGAGTGAATATGCCCCTGGAATGAGATCATGAACGGTTGAAAGGAATCCTATTAATAGGAAGGGAAAGATCAAACAGTAACAATCTGGAAAAAGACAGAAGGCAAGATAGAGAGTGTAGTTTAACAAGGTCAAGGAACATAGTACAGACCAAGAATGTTACTGGGAGTGTAAGTATCAAGTCGTCTTAGTGGCTACAAACAAATTAGACAAAGTTAACAAACAGCAAGAATTACAAAGGTGGAGAGAACTTCAGTGTACATAAAGGTAGAAGACTGGTATAAGACAACCAACCTTATCATATGGATAAATATGTGTGGAAAAGATGTCTCCTCTCGGGAGTTGTAAAGCTAAAGCTAGGCATTTAGCATGAGATTTTGAAATATTTAGAAGATTTTCAACAACAAATAAATGGGAATGTAGAACAACTGACATTAAACCTGCATTTCTGCAGGGAGATTAGCTCGAAAGGCAAGTGATTCTTCATTCTCCAAAAGAGGTATCAAAAGCACTGGGGTCACTTTGGATGTTATGTAAATGTGTAAATAGCCTAATGATGCCTCTGGAGTGTGGTCTTCCTCAGTTAGGTATATTTCATTACAACTGAGCTATCTCCAGTTGACTATAGATGCTGTCACGTTTTCCTGACATGACAGGGATAGATTTCAGGCATATTTATCATGTACGTAGATTTTTTTTTGTTGAATGAGCGCAGAGAATTTGAAAACATTGAGATAAATGGGCTTAAAGCAGAATTCAAAATTAGAAGTCAAGCTTCTTGGCTTTTAAGTGTATTGGACTGGAAACCAGGCAGATTGACTAAGTGTTGCTTTGTATCAGTCATCTTAATTAGAACATGTTAACCCCATGACAGTTGGTCAATGTAGGGCCCCATGAAAAGATTCAGCAGCATCCCAAACTGAAATGGAGGAAATGCAGAGTCTACTTGGACAGCTGAATTGTTTGGGCACCTCAACCAGGTTACATGTTAATTCTGAGGTCCCAGAGAGTTGAGTACAATTATGAAAAATTCAAAGGTAAAAGATATTATTTAGGTGAACAAAACGTTGAAAAAATTAAAAATGGAGCATTATGTTGGATATCCAGGCAAATGAAACACTGTTTTTAGTGATGCTTCCTCTGCAAGTCGCTTTGGCGAGTTCTCAAGTACAGGTGGGTTTTTTAATTTTCTTTTGGGAGAGGGAGGTATATGGGAAGCTAAAAAGATTGGAGGAAAAAATACCTTTATGGCAGAAGGTCTTGCTCTTCTTGAGGTGATTAATATGGCATTCTTTTTAGCAATAATGTTCGAAGAAATTCCAAACAGGGATTCAGCAGCAACACCTATTGAGTGCTATATTGATATTAAGTTAAAATGAGAATAATATAGAGTTAATGAAATGCATGAATTAAAAAAGATTGAGGATCAATATTGCATTTTTACAACAGATGCTGGAGAGCGGAAAAACTTCAAATTGAAATGTGTATATAGCAGCAGTCAGCGAGTCAGCTATCTGATTGCTTTTCTTGGAGCAAGCTCTAGGAAACTATTAGAAATAGTGAAAAGATTGTTTGGAACTCTAATGTCTTCTTGAAAAGGTGGAAAAATGTCATTCTGCGCAATATGTTGTTTATTTGTAGTTTATTTTCGCTATTTATATGTATCAATTCATTTTAAAACCAAAAGGGATCTATTGTCATTTAATAGGGTCTAGCAGGGATGCCTGAAATCTAATGGAACTAGGGAACAGATAATGGTTGCAAGTTAATTGAAGGAATAATTGGGTGAGAACTTGACTGGGTGCATAAGGAGAATAAATAATTAGCCTTATTGGAGTTTGTGGAGTGTGAGTAGAAATGAAACTCTGACCACTGTCTGACCAGCAGTTAATCTCTCATATTTAATAGTAAAGGTGGTATTGACACATACAGATTCGGATGATCCCTGGCCTGTGCCACTTGTGAAACATACTGATCAGCCAAGAATCAGTACTTTAAAAAAAAAATACATACCTGTTGAGCAAGGAAATATTCTGCTTGTTTCTGGGATAAAGGTCCTCTGTCAATAACTTCATCATCTCTGTCAACAATAAGGTAGTGTCAATCATTGAACTTTAAGAGTTTTTTTTTTAAAATGGGTACATATTACTGGTCCAAGAAACAGCAGTGGGACAAAAAAAGGACACGTTGCAGCAGGAACTTGTGAAGTGAATTTGGCTCAACCCAGAAAAGAAACAGGCATGCAGAAGAATGAGTGAAATAAGATCACAGTCATCAGACATGGGAAACCCTAAAAATGCTTTTCTGACCTACTAGACTGTGCTTTTGGGAAGTGACCAGTGGTTACCAAAAGAAAGAACTAAGTGTTCAGACTGGTGAGAGGACACTTGAATTTGTCACACCCTGGCAAATCATACTACACCAAAAGTAGACCAACAGAGGACACATTAAAACATGGGATATCAGTATAACTATTCAGAAAAGAAACTACATTGATATGATACATAACTAGTTTCCTACACACATTAACTTTGAAACAAACAAAGATCAACAGGCTACTATAAATTCTGCTCAAGTGTGATATTCAAACTGGAAATGTTTGGGATTTACTCTCAGAATGCCAATTAATGTAACATGATTGTTCCCAAATGATATCAATCAATACACTTGGTACTAATAACTTTGGAGCAGCCCTCTTGTGGTGCAGTGGTTATGTCCCTACCCCTGGACTGGGAGGACCAGGTTGATGCCCCACCTGCTCTAGAGGTGTTTAGTAACATCTCTGAATAGGTTGTTTAGAAAAATAGGCTAACAACTTGGATCCGTCATGTTTCATTTAAAATCAGCTCAGGTAAGGACTTCTTTAAAAGGAACAAAGAAACAGTGAAAGTAGTTTCCAGCAATTTTTGTTATTTGTTCTTCCTTCTCCTTTATAAATTGTTCAATCAGATGAATTATAACGCATAAAACGTTGTGCAAAAGATTTACAAAACAAACAACAAACAGAATGGTCTCAATGCATGCTGGCAGAGCTTGCATTTGATCTCGATCCCTTATTGCCCTCGAAGGTGGTAATGAAACAACTACTGCCCTTGTTCTTTACTGTGACAGAGGTTATGGTTTGGAAAATTATGTCCAAGATGCCGTAATGTGTTACTGTAGTGCTTCTCCAGTTAATTGTGCGCCTATCAGACAGAAAGGCAAAGGAACAGAAGCATGCCACTTGGCCAACAAATCTGGTCTGTAATTGAAATGGCTGATCTGATCTGTAATTGAAATGGCTGATCTGATAATCCTCAACTTCACTACCCTGCCTTTTCACCTTGATCCAGAATCTATCTCAGCCTTGAATATGATCAATGACACAGCCTTGGCAGTTCTCTATGGTAAAGACTTCCAAAGATTCATTACTTTCGGAGAAGAAATTCATCCTGTTATAGATGGGCAAACCCTTACTCTGAGAATATACTCTCTGGTTCTTGAATCACCCATAAAGGGAAGCAAATGCTCTGTATCTGCCCTGACAACCCCCTAAGAGTTTTAGATGTTTCAGTAAGGCCACATCTCAACTATTTTAAACTCCAATGAATATAAGTCTAATCTACTATGAAATATGCAGTGTGCAATGCCAACATCAATTCATTGTCTCCCCAATTTTGTTGACAACTGAAATGGTGGGCTTTTTCTAGGCCAGAAAGCAAATGAAAGAAGACAAAAGAAAACAATGTAAGAATGCTTTTCGTTGAAAATAGGGTGCCCCCCACCACATTTGTATTCTCTCCTTAAGCTATTTGTAAACTTTAACATGATCCAATGAATCTTACCTTATTGGAATATCTAGTTCCTCTTTTTCCATTTTTCCTTCTAAATCTAAAGAGGTTAATTCCATATCTGTGTCTTCTCTTTCTCCAGTCCCTGAAGACATTTTTTCATAGCTTTGGTAATATTGCTGTAAAGCTGTGTAAAGCTTATAAACCTGACTGAAGGACAGTTTGTTGTAAGCCAAGATCATGTGCCTCAAGAACAGACCTACAGGAACATTAAGAACTCATTAACAAAGTAAACTTAGAGACTTCAATCTATTTCCAAACTATTATCGTGGATACATCAAGATAATTAGTACAGAATATATACCAGTAAAAGTAATCATTTTAAATTAAGCTAGAAACTCATATTATGGGAATGATCTTTCGCCTGGTGGTAAAATTCAGACTTCTAAAGTGGAAAGTTATGAGTTCAAGTCCAAGACTTGGTGCAGCCAATTTTAGCAACTGGAGCCAAGATCTCCAGTGTTGAACTACTGGATTGTCCTTTCACTGTATGTTTTTATTCATTAATTGGATGAGGGCTTTGCTGGCTGGGCCAGCATTTATTGCACATCTCCATTCACTTTGAGAAAGTGATGGTAAATGACTCCTTAAACTGCTGCTGTCCTTGGAATGCTGTTAAGAAAGGAGTTCAGGATTTTGACCCAGCAAGTGAAGTCATGGTGATATAGTTCTAAATCAGGACAGCATGGAGGGAAACTTGCAGTCTGTGGTTTTCCTATGCATAAGCTGTCCTTCACCTTATAGAAGGTAGATGTTGCGGGTTTGGAAGGAGAGGTCCAAGGGGAAAGCAAACAGAGAACCTGATCTCTAGCCTCTCTATACGGGATTGACACCTACCAAGATTCTCAGCCACCCTTCTGTTGGTACAGAACTGAAGGTCAAATTATTAACTTGTCCATGTTACTAAAAAGGGAATTTATCCCATGTGCAGTTAGCCAAGGAAACAACAATTTTCCTAGAACAAAACTATAATTTTAACAGTAATAAGGAATACTTCAACATTAAACATTGTTTGACAACTATCATTCTTTCTTTCAAAATTTTCCAAATTTAGTGGCTTTCCTTCTGAAAAGAGAGCAAATTGTAAAAACAAAAAAAGAAAAAAAAACCTTATGGCATTGTGCACATAAAATGTCTGCACCAAACATTATAATTTCTCTGAGACAACAAGGTGCAGGGCTGGATGAACACAGCAGGCCAAGCAGAATCATAGGAGCAGAAAGGCTGACGTTTCGGGCCTAGACCCTTCATCAGAAAAGGGGGAAGGGAAGTGGGTTCTGAAATAAATATCCAACGCATCATCCTCCGACACTTCCGCCATCTGCAATCCAACCCCACCACCAAAGACATCTTTCCCTCCCCACCCTTATCTGCTTTCCGGAGGGACCACTCTCTCCGTGACTCCCTTGTCCGCTCCACACTCCCCTCCAGCTCCACCACACCCGGCACTTTTCCCTGCAACCGCAGGAAGTGCTATACCTGCCCCCATACCTCCTCCCTCACCCCCATCCCAGGCCCCAAGAAGACTTTCCACATCAAGCAGACGTTCACCTGCACATCTGCCAATGTGGTATACTGCATCCGCTGTACCCGGTGTGGCTTCCTCTACATCGGGGAAACCAAGGGGAGGCTCGGGGACCGCTTTGCAGAACACCTACGCTCGGTTCGCAATAAACAACTGCACCTCCCAGTCGTGAACCATTTCAACTCCCCCTCCCATTCCTCAGACGACATGTCCATCCTGGGCCTCCTGCAGTGCCACAACGATACCACCCGAAGGTCGCAGGAACAGCAACTCATATTCTGCTTGGGAACCCTGCAACCCAATGATATCAATGTGGATTTCACAAACTTCAAAATCTCCCCTCCCCCTACCGCATCCCAAAACCAGTCCAGCTCGTCCCTGCCTCCCTAACCTGTTCTTCCTCCCACCTATCCCCTCCTCCCACCTCAAGCCGCACCCCCATCTCCTACCTACTAACCTCATCCCGCCCCCTTGACCTGTCCGTCCTCCCTGGACTGACTTATCCCCTCCCTAACTCCCCACCTACACTCACCTTTACTGGCTCCATCCACGCCTCTTCGACCTGTTTGTTTCCTCTCCACCTATCCTCTCCTTTATCCATCTTCTATCCGCCTCCCACTCTCTCCCTATTTATTTCAGAACCCCCTTCCCCTCCCCCTTTTCTGATGAAGGGTCTAGGCCCGAAACGTCAGCCTTTCTGCTCCTCTGATGCTGCTTGGCCTGCTGTGTTCATCCAGCCCTGCACCTTGTTGTCTCGGATTCTCCAGCATCTGCAGTTCCTACTATCTCTGATCATAATTTCTCTTACTTCCAAAGCATATATACATCATTACATACAAAATGAATCAAGAAAACTGTGACTCTATGGTAACATGTGGTCCATGTCAGAACAAAATTTGGATGTGCAGCAACAGGAGTTGGACAGATGAGTGGAGTTGCTTGAATGCCAAATACCAGGTTGTACATTAGCTGTTCCAACAATGATTAATCCTGCCTAATGAAGCTCAATGGGCAGCCAGAAACTTTAAAGTCATCCAACAATATCTGTTGTCATCCAGAATAGCAGGTATTTGAAATTTAAATGATAATTAAGTCGCTGTTTCTTTCATTGGGAGCAAGTGAATGTGAATACCAAAAAGACAACCCTCACAAGACCCAATATGATAAAGTGAGACTTTAGGAGGTACATTATGGATTTAAACAGTCTGCACTCTCTTCTTGAAAATCAATTGATTAAATGTTGTTGTTTTGTGCTTCATAAGCACCATAGTACCACTAACTCATTTCGGCAAAAGGGAAATGCGTTATTTGTGATGGTTACTGATCTTTGTGACTTGTGCTGCGATTGCCTCGAAATTCACAATAATTGATTTTTGAAATTGAACATATATAACATGAAAATAAATGAAAACATCTTCCACCTCAAAATTAGATGAACAAAAATTATATACTGCAGTGTAGGCCAGAAACTAGTGACCACAGGGATAAGAAATAAGATTAAAAATTCATACCTATGACACTAGTCTTGTGAACTGCTGGTTCTGTCCCACTGAAAACATTCTGAAGGGAATAGAAGAAATTTTCCATATCTTTCAACTCCCCTTCAGCCATTAACTTTACTCTAAAAAAAAAATAAAATGCATGCTTATCGTACCCAAATGCATTTTTAGAAGATAAGATAAATTAACGTGCCAGGTTTGATTTTAAAAATTTGCATTTGCTTCTTTAGAGGTTTTAAAAATAATGAAATTATTTTCAATATGCTCAGCGAGAAAGGCTAAGTACATAAGTAGTTGTAGAACATGGTATTTAGCCAGTTGAGCTTGCGGCACCATTCAACAAGATCATGGCTGATCCTCCTTTGTGCAAGTTTATCATAGCCCTCAACTCCCCAGTCCTTCAACTATTTATCTACGTTCTCTTTAAATATTTTTTGTGATTTAACCTTCACAACCCTCTTACATGAGTTCCAGACACTCACTAAGCATTGAGTGAAGAATTTTCTTCGTATCTCAGTTTTAAATGAGTGTCCCCTTATTCTGTAACTATGTCTACTTTCAGATTTCGCACCAGTGCAAACATGTCTTCAACGTCCACCCTGTTAAATCCCTTGAGAATCTTGTGTGTTTCAATAAGATTACCTCTAATTCTTCCAAACTAATTAATAAAAGCATAACTTGTTAAGCTATTCTTGATTAATCAACCCCTTCGTCCCTGGAATCAGCTTAGCAAATCTATTTTGAACTGCCTCCAATACATCTTTTCTTAAACACAGTGAACAAACTGTACACACTACTCCAGGTGCGAGATCTCACCAGTACCCTCTATAGTTGTGACACGACTTCCATATATTTATTCTCCAACCCTCTACCCAGAAAGGCAAAAATTCCATCTCCCTTCTTAATCGGTCTCTGCACCATGCTTTTTGTTTTGTATTTCACGCACAAGAACAGCATACCTCTGTGCTCCATAATTTGTAGTCCTCCTCCATTTAAATAGTAGTCTGCCTCCTAATTCTTCCTACTAAATTCCTACATTAATCTCCATTTGCCAAGCTTTTGCTCACTGACTTAACTTATCTATATCCCCTTTCAGGTCCCTTATGTCCTCATCATAACATGCCCTCCCACCTAGTTTTATATCATCAGCCAACTGGTTACATGTCACTCTAGCCCCTCTCCTCCATACCATTTATATAGATAGTAAATAGTAGGACTGATCCTTGTGGCACTCCACTAGTTATATCTTTACAACCTGAAAAAAGCCCATTAATCCCAATTCTCTGTCTTGTGTGTGTTAACTATCTCAATCCATGCTAATACATTGTCCCCAACAATTTGAGTTGTTGTTTCATGCAATCATATCTTACATGGCACCTTATCAAATGCCTTGTGGAAATCCAAATACACCACATCTGCTGGTTCCCCTTTAACAACTTTGCTTGTAATATCCTCAAAGAAGAGCAGATTTTTCAAACATGATTTCCTTTGCACAAAACTATGCTGACTCAATTTGATTGTTAAGCTTTTTTTTAAAAAACATGTCCTATTTTTTCCTTATTAATCGACTCTAGAATTTTCTCAATGACTGATATTAGGCTAATTGGTCTGTAGTTTCCGGTTTTGTGTCTCCATCCATTGTTGTGCTACATTAAAAGTTTTCCCATCTGCTGGAATAAATCGTGGAATCCGTTGCGTTCTGTAATATTTTGACCAATGCCTCCACTCTCTCTGCTGCCACTTCCTCTAAAACCCCCTGGATGCAGGCCATCAGATCCTGGTGATTTGTCTGTCTTTAGTCCCATTAGTTTGTCAAATACTTTGCCCCTAATGATAGAAAATGTTACAAGATCTTTCTTCCCATTGGCATCTTGTGTATGTTATCTTCAGGATTTTTATAGTGTCCTCCACTGTGAAGACTAATGCAAAATGTTGGCTTAAATTATCTGCTATTCCCCCATTTCTTGCTATTAATTCCGCAGTTGCATCATCCAAGGTCCCACACTTACTTTAGCTACTCTCTTTTTACATACCTGTGGAAGAGCATTCTGTTTGTTTTTATATTTCTTGCCAATTTACTTTCATAATCAATTTTCTCCCTTTTTAAAAGCTTTTCGGTCACTCCTGGTTCCCAAAAAATTACTTCCTAATCATCTGGCCGACCACTCGTTCTTATACTTTGTATGCTTCAGATTTTGACTGGATGCTCCCTTGACTGCTTTTTAAAAAAAAATTCAAACTTGGGATGTGGGAATCAGTGGTTAGGCCAGCGTTTATTGCTCATCCCTAGTGGCTCTTGAGAAAGTGGTGAGCTGCCTTTTTGAACCGCTACAGTCCATGTGCTATAGATAGACCCATGATGCCAGTAGAAAGGGAATGCTGGGATCATGGCCCAACGATACTGATGGAATGGTGATACATTTCCAAGTCAGGATATGGAGAGACTTGATAGGGAATTTGCAGGTGGTAGTGTTCCCATGTATTTGCTGCCCTTGTCCTTCTGGTTAGAAGTGGTTTGGAAGGTGGTGTCTAAAGAGATTTGGTGAATTTCTGCATTGTATTTTGTAGACGGTATACACTACTGCTACTGAACATCAGTGGTAGAGAGAGTGGATATTTGTGCAAGTGGTGCCAATCAAGCAGGCTATCAGTTGTTAGAACTGCACCCATCCAGGCATATGCGGAGTATTCCATCACTTTTCTGACTTGTGCCTTGTAGATGGTGGACAGGCTTTCAGGGTACAGGAGAGGAATTACTCACTACAGGATTCTTAGCCTATCCTTTGTTCTTGTATCCACTGCATTTATACAGTTAGTCCCCACTTCAATTTCTGATCAATACTGACTCCCAGGATGTTGAGACTGGGAAATTCAGTGATGGCAATGCCATTGAATGTCAACGAAAATGGTTAGATTGTCTCTTCTTGGTGATGAGCATTGCCTGGCATTTGCGTGACGCAAATGCAACTTGCCACTTTTCAGCCCAAGCCTAGATATTGTCCAGGTCTTGCTGCATTTGGACATTGTCTGAGGCATCGCAAATAGTGCTGAACGTTATTATTAATATTATTCAAGAAGATGGCAGGGGTGGTGAACAGGGATAAACCAGGGAATTATAGGCCAGTCAATCTAACCTCACTGCTGGGGAAACTACTGAAGTACAGAATTAATCTGCACTTAGAAGCAGGGATTAATTGAGAACAATCAGCATGGTTTTGTTAAGGGGAGGTCATGTCTGGCCAATTAGATTGAACTATTCAAAAAGGTGACCTGGTGTGTAGACGAGGACAATGCATTTGACCTTATCTACTTGGACTGCAGCAAGTATGGAAGACTGATAGCTCATGGATCAAGGAAATTTGGCTAATTAGATCCAGAACTGGCTGAATGGCAGAGAACAAAGGCTGTAGTCGAGGTATGTTTATGTGATTGGAAGCCTGTGTTTAGTGGGATTCCATTAGTCCTGTGAGCTTTACTGTTTGTGGTATACACAAATGATTTGGAAGTGAATGTCGGAGGATTGATCAATAATTTCAAGGATGATATGAAAATTGGTGGGGTGGTGAATTGTGAGGAGGATTGATTTAGATGACCAAAATTGAGAACTGGGTATTCGAATTTCTAGAAGGATGGGCAAAAAGGAAGGGGTAGTAGGTTGTAAATAAAGGAGTATTTCAGTACAGCAGTAAGTTGTGACATAGATTCAATAGATCGTGAATGGCCTTCAGAGAATACAGATGAGCCGATCAGATGGGCTGATCGGTAGCAAATGGAATTCAGTGGGTGTTAGATGATGCACTTGGGCAGGACAAACAGGTAAGGGAATATATGATGGATGGTAGGACCCAGGTAAGCACCCAGTATCAGACAAAATTTGGTGTGCATGTCCACCAGTCACTTAATGCAGCTTAAGGCAGCATTTGGGATACTTGCCTTCATTAGCCGAGGTATAGAGTTTAAGAGCAGGAAGGTGATGCTGGACCTGTATAAAACATTGTTTAAGGCCAGAGCTACAGTATTGTGTGCAGCTCTGTAATCCACATTATAGAATGGATGTGATTACATTGGACAGGGTGCAGAGGAGATTTACCAGGACGTTGCCTGGATAGGGAGGATTTTAGTTTTGAAGAGAGACTGGATAGACTGCAGTTATTTTCCTTGGAGCAGAAATCGGATTTGGGACATGATTGTGATGTATAAAATTTTTGAGGGTCATAGATAGGGTAGACAGGGAGGAACTTTTCCCCTTGGTGTAAGTCAATGACCAGAAGCGTAGATTTAACTTAAAGGGCAGGAAGTTTACAGCAGATGGGAGGAAATTTTTCTTCACCCAGAGAGTAGTCGGAATCTGGAACTCATTGCCTGTAAGGATGTCAGAGGCAGAAATCCTTACACCATTTACAAAGCCTTTAGATGTTCACTTGCAATGCAAGGCTACAAGGCTACGAGTCAGGTTTTAGAAAATAGGTTGAGAATAGTTAAGTGCTTGTTTTTGACTGGCACAGCCTTTATGGCTCAAAGGGGCCTTTTTCTATGCTGTCGATCTCTATGACATTGTTGTGATGATGCTGTCACTGCACTGGGCCTAATGAAAACAGCGTTACGCATATAAAGGTATAAAACGAAAAAGAGTTTTTTTTGAAGACAGGTTGTAAGGCATAAGTACTGAACTGGCTACTTGAAGACGACTTAAGTAAACAATGTGAGGCCTTTAGGTTTTTTTTTTAAGTTGGAGCAATGGAAGCAGCCTAAATGGGTGTGGGCAATTCTCACGGATCCAAATTTATGAGTTTTGGTATTTTCAGTATCATCAGAAGCTGGTTGGGGTCTCAAATGAGTTGGAAGCTTCAATGAATGTCTCTTAGCTGCTACACTCTCTGAATGTTTCTCTCTCCTGGATTGGAAAACTGCATCCAAGAATCTGGGTCTGCACTTGTCTTTTTGGCCAAGGGCTGTGTTTATGAGATGTTACTATATTGGAACAGTTAATTAGTAATAGGTACTGTATCTATTATTCGGTTAAGTTTGCCAATAGTTGTTATTCTAAATTCCTTTTTTTGTTTGTATTTTAATTATAACATTTAAATAAATTGTTTTGCTTAACGTCAAGCAGTTTGACCAGTCAAATCACATCTGGAACATGCACTTCACATCCATCTTTAAAATAAGAAAAAGTTAGCGTCTGCCTTCTTAAATATTTTGAGGGGGTTTGGTCTATAACACTGTGCAATCATTGGCAAACATGCCCACTTCTGACCTTATGATGGAAGTACGGTTGTTGTTGAAAAAGAAGCTGAAGATAGCTGGGCCTCAGACACTGCCCTGAGGGACTTCTGCAGAGATGTCCTGAGGCTGAGATGACTGACCTCCAACAACCACAACTATCTTCCTTTGTGCCAGGTATGATTCAAATCAGAGGAAAGTTTTCCCCTGACTCCCATGGACTCCAGTTTTGCTTTAGTTCCTTGATGCCACACTCAATCAAATGCGCCCTTGATGTCAAGGGTAGTCACTGTCACCTCACCTCTGGAATTCAACTGTTTTGTCTATGTTTGAACCAAGGGTGTAATGAGGTCAGGAGCTGAGTGGACCTGGCAGAACATGAACCGTTACTGAGCAGGAGCTGTTCCATGGTGGTGGAGTCAGCCTCATTAGGGGCATTTAAGTGGCTATTAGATTGGCGTATGGATGATAGTTTAAGGTAGGGGTGGAGGTTCGATAGACCTTAGGATTAGGGTAAAAGTTCGGCACAACATCGTGGGCCGAAGGGCCTGTACTGTGCTGTATTGTTCTATGTTCTATTGTATGGTTGATGACATCTTTCATCACTTAACTGATGATCATGAGTAAACTGATAGGGCAGTAATTGGCTGGGTAAGATTTGTCCTGTTTTGTGTAAGCCCACCACACTAACCCCCCTCCCACAGGCACCAGAAGTTGCAGTCAATTTCACAGAGTCATGAAGCTGAATGCTGTCGTTTTCTTGTCCCTTTCAGTATGATGTTGAGTTACTGTTACAGATTTCTTACCTTGTACTGACAGCACTTGCAAGTTTAGGGCAGCATTCTCCAATAGTCTTAAGCAACTGATGTAATGTCATATCTGGACCCTGTAACAAAGTAGTAAGACATGTTTATAATTTTAGAATGGAAATAGAGGATAAATAAACAGACTTCTAACAAATGCATCTTCAAGAAGCATCCTCACCTGAAGCAATGGTAAATTCAATTTGTTCATGTGAAGACGTCTGGTTTCGATTTCTGGCGTCCCTTGCCCTTTACAAGTAGCCATTTCGTGCAACAAAACCAGGATTGAGATTTTGTGTGGGGTAACCCAGTCTTTGATGCCAAAAATATTTGCATGAACCACACCGTTGGCCATCATAGGATTGAAAAACATACTCTCGTGAACGCTGGCCATGATAATAATCAGTTAAGTAGTCGAATTGAAAACTTAGAATATGGACCTCGACTGGAGAAAAGCAGCTAAAACCAACTCTTTAAGGTAGACGCAAAGACAATGAACATCCCAGAGTCCACAACTGTACTGGGCCTAATGAAAACAGCGTTACGCATATAAGGTATAAAAATAAAAAACCGTGGATCCTATCACAGATATAAGGCCGTCGATTTGTTAGACATATTTTCACTTAAGAGAGAGAAACAGAGTCAACGAGGCATCCACATTTCAAATTCAAGTTCATTTTGTTTAATCTTAAACATTAAATTGCTGAAAAATCCGCCGCTCCACAAATCAACCACATGGCGTCCAATCAATCGATAGCATGGACACTTCCCTTGGAATGTTTCTGGCCAGGATTTATTACATCGGACAACGTCAAAATCAATACTGACAGCAGATCAGCAAACGGGATATAGACTTATCACATTTAATCATTAACTTTAATCCTCCAATGTGAGTGCCACAGTATTTCGCATGCGTACATGCTCATACCATCAGTCGACAACACCAACGACCGCACCCGCCTATTAGACTTCAGCTCAAAGCTGCGAGACATTTGCGCATGCTCCGGAAACGTCCTTTCGTAACTGATTGTCACTAACGAGAAAATCTGTTTGGTACGTGCACGCGCTGAAAATGTCTGTGGGCGAAAGTGTGATGACATCATCAGAGTGTGCTTTTCTTGTGTTTTACTTCCGAAGGGTCAGAGGTCTCGATGTGTTAACTGTTCTTTTCCACGTCCTGCCAGACCTGAGGTTCTACAGCAGTTTCCGTTTGTTTTAGAACATGCAATTAATGTTTTGTATGTCTGAAGTGGAAAGAATGAGACGTTATAATAGTTTGAATACTGCCATTTACGTTTCAAAGGACATTTCAAAGCCATTTGCAGTAAATGCAGCAGCCTATTTGCACAAAGCAAATATTCTCAAACAGCAATATGATAACATATATATATATACATAACATACACCTCCCAGTCGCGAACCATTTCAACTCCCCCTCCCATTCCTCAGATGACATGTCCATCCTGGGCCTCCTGCAATGCCACAATGATGCCACCCGAAGGTTGCAGGAACAGCACCTCATACTCTGCTTGGGAACCCTGCAGCCCAATGGTAACAAGGTGTAGAGCTGGATGAACACAGCAGGCAAAGCAGCATCAG